GGGTGTGTACTAAAACCGATATAATTTCAGTGAGCTCGATCCTGGATATTACAAGACAGATATTTTATGCGGATTATCCCACATTTCATATGCTACAAATAAGAATAAAAAAATCTTGTTTTTTGTATGTCTGTAGCATTGAAATGAGAACTTGTCGAAGTTGTACCGGTTTCGCTAAGGTCTTTATAACGAGAACGGTTAACCAGTTCGCTACAAATTATACTTGACCTACATGTAGTATGACGCCAGCATCCGATCGTCTTCGGCGATTGTCTGATAATGTAACGCCGAAGTCTCACCGCTATTATGGAGATGGGAAAATGAAACGTGAGCGGATAGATCGATTTTCCAGAATGGTTCGACGTGGTTTCGTGGTGAATCGTAATTCGGAGATGAACCGGTTAAACGTGATTTTCGTTCTTTGTTCTTCGGCGGAGCGAGTCGATTTCATCGCGAAAGTTTCGAACTCGAAAGAGTTAAACGCGCACATTTGGATTTTGTCCTTCCCCTCGTTTTCGCGACGATGCTTTCACAAATCAATGCCAATCGTGGTAATCGCGAACAACGGCGTTAAGAGATCCCTTGTAGTCGGCATACAGCAGGAAGAAAGATTGAGCTTTCGTCATCTTTCTTTATTTGAACCTTCGTGATAAAAGAGCGCTACAAAATACCAGAGAGAGAGAGAGGGAGAGAGAGGGGGAGGGGGGGAGAGAGAGGCAGTGAAAGAGGTCGGCGGCTACGCGTCCCCGAAATCAATATGGATACCTACACGTCTGCGATATATCCCGCACGTGCTTGTGCGTTTCGGGACCTTTCGACATGTCTATAGGGTGGTCAACGTGTCAAGGGTGGAAAGACACCCTTCTCCGTGACAAACTGCCCCATTCGTTGTAATCTACGCAAACGAATTAGATGGTTTCTACGTCATTGGCTATTGTGACCAATTTATACTTATGTATACTCATTATTTAGTTTCATTAATGTATACGATGACATTATTATGCCGCGTGTGGGCAACGAGATTCTTGCTCGAATAATTAAGAATATAAATATTTTCGGAAAAATAGTCGGTGTCAATAAATTTTTAAGAAATATATATTTAAATAAAAAATATTCACACACACACACACAAAATAATTTTTATAAATTTTGTAAATCATATTCATAAATCAAATTTGTAAATTATTGTTGAGTTTTGTTAAGACAATTTCTGATTGTTTACTGTCACGCACCCTCGGATGCCTACTTCAAGATCGTATTTCTTTGACACGACTCTGCCTTTGTCATAGCTTTAATAACTTAGTAAGACACAGAAACCTGAGAAAAAGAAACCCAAGGTATGCCAATACATCATGCTGCTAGAATGCGTTTATTGGATTTTTCCCGACTAAATTACATTCCCCGCGATGGTTTATCGATTTGATTTTGAATTTTAAGAGAGCGCCGTGATTTCTTTAAAGCTCCTATGTTATTACAAAGTAAGAATATGATTAATAAATATAAAAAAGTTATGTAATAATAAATTTATATATAATACAATCTAGAAAAACATATATAAACTGAAAATATATTTATAGAAATATCGATATTTTAATTTGCAATGACAATACGTTTGATTAATGAAATAATGGATATTTCGAAATCAGTATGTAATTTTCAAAGAACTATTTCGAATGAAACAATTTTTCTGGTACGATGTATTTCCGTTAACCGAAAGTATCGGTACAATGTGCCTCAGCTGGATATCTCGCAAAAAAATTCGGACCACTATTTGACACCTCGTAAAAGCATCTCATATAATTGGCAATTAAAGCAGGTGGCTTTGACAATCTATCTACTCGCGATACTTGAAATCCCGCATGTGTGAACACGAAATTGTTCGCGGAGAATGTTCTGACTTCGGCAAATAAATTTCCGTTAATTCGCGCGCTGCTTTTTTTGTAACACTCTGTCGAAATAAACGCCATCCAATGATTTCGTTTCAATTTAAACTTGGGGTAAAGGCTTCGGGGGAAGGACCCTTTGAAAGTTTCCGCTGTAAATTTTCGTTTTACCGTAGCAAAGTGTCCTTTGAGCGGGAAAGCGAACTATTACAAAAACCACACGAAACAACTTGCGTACTTCGATTGACTGCCATTTTATGCATATCAAATTTTTTAAACTATTATCATGAAAAATTGTATTGTATAAAATGGTGTTTTATAAATAATTTAGTAATATTGAACTATTCACATATTAAATTTAAAAGATATGTGAAAACATAAACATAAGATTAAAAGAAATTTTTAGCAATATAAACTATATATGCATGTATAATAAAAACAAAAATGATTTTTTTCCGATTACTTTTTTCAATTTCAAAAGTAAAAACGGTATAGCAAAAAGAATATGTATTGTATATTGTATGTTTCTCTTTTTTCCGCTTTAATCTCGTTCGTGAAAGATTTATTCACGGTGACTATCTAATAATATTTTATTATTCTCGGATTTTTATGATTAATCAAAAATGCGATTCCTTCTCTCAAAAGAGAGAAGGAATCGCATGTTAATTTAATTATTTCCTGATTCCAATCTTTCTTATCCTTTTGAGTGCGTGCTTATCCTTTCCATTTGCGGTCACCGAATAGATCGGCATTAAACTCGAATAAACAAAACTCTATTACTATCATATGCCTCTATAGACATTACGAGCACTCATTATTTACATCATAATCGTAGAATATATCAATTTTTAATAAATATATTTGCAGTATATGTGTGTGGGAATGATACAAATTACCCCAGAATTGATTTAAATTTAACGATATTTAATTTAAGGAAAATTCTTATAAACTCAGTAAAATAAGAGATTTAAATTATGCATTATTGGATAATACATTATTTGCATAAATAGAGTTAGTTGTCAAATTAATTAGTTTGAGTAAATCTTGGCGAGAATATATTTTGATACCAGGATTCCCCCTGAATATATATTAATTTTATCTCTGGACAAACATAAATAACGTTCTCACTTGCAATCAATGTGTAAATAAAACGCGTAAATACTGAAATAAGTAAACAAATCAATAATCATTTCAACTATATTATTTATATTAGAAATAAAAAGCTTGCATCTTTTAATATATATTTATAAATTGAATTCCCCATTAAAATAATTAAATTTACCAACAAAAGAAAAGGAATTGTGTAACACAAAACATAACATTAAAAATATCGATACTCGACTGAGTGCTAGTGTGGGAGAGTGACGAAGCCTCTCTTAACCAACCGAGCGTGATTTTCGCCTCATTTACGTCGGCCGTATAAATATAAATGTTGCAGGGGCGAGATGAGATATACGCGCATTTACGGCATGTTACACTAAACCCTTCTTTGAAAGTCTGATCTTCTCTACGATGGGATATAACAATGGGGATTTGCGAAAGTGTGCATTAAGTGGGTACGATCGTTGAACACAGGGAGGCAAGTGATTCGTCGAATTTACGACTCATTACATTGGAGATTGCTCATATCCTCCGATTTCGTTGCCACGAATCTACAACTTTATCGTATTTATAAACGGGAGATTGATAATTGATGATTATATGAAAATATGTGACCGAATGTTTACGAATCAATTATTAAAACTAATTATTTCTTTTTCTTTAAATATTGCACGAAAATTTTTTTAGTCATAAAGATGTCCAAATCCTATTTTATCCATGACAATGTTTCTATAACAAAAGATATAGCAATAAACATTGTTAGTGCTTTATTGTTCTTATATGCTTTTCTACAACGTATGTCCTTTCAGGAATGTATAGATAATACATTAATTAGCATCCTAATTAGCATAGCACGTAATATAGGGGAAATCCTGGTATCCTCGCCAAGTCTACTCAAGCCTGCATTGAAGTCTACCAATTAACAATTATAATTGGAAACGTGTTAATAATATATGCATATTTCTCATCTTTTCTCTAAATTTTCTAATAAATATTAACATTTGATAATAGAGAGACATCAATTTATGATAAAATGGATAATTTCATGGTACTTTATACATCAATCGACAATCAATTATAAAAGAGAAAAAATGATAAGAATAACGTACAATTTTATTCACATAAGATTATAATAGTTTCGACAACATTAAAAAACGATGTACTATACGAGGCACCTTAATAAAGTAATATCACGGGAAAAATGCCATGAACAGCAACACGTACACAGACTTTTCCCACACACGTGCATCCACACATGTTGGAGATTAAGTAGGAACTTCCTAGCCCGAGTTATTCTCGCTCGTAGGCAAATATTCAACTCTGATGAAACTCAAAGCCGAAATTTTGCTGATCCCTTCAGGCTCGAGAGTCATTACTAGGTTTACAGTAATAGAGGAGATTATGAAGACCGTTTGATTCCTTCAACACATGATACTTAGTTCGAGCTAATTATAAAATATATTTGCCATTGATTGCAAATGATATTAAACACTGATTTAACGCAAAATAAGATCATAAACAAAAAAAGCATCATTATAAGATCGGGACAAATCTGAGTCAAATCGACGCAATATTTTTTTTATATAAGACACGATTGGAAAACCGGATATTTCAGAATAACGGCTTTGGAGTAATGTTTAAATGTTTTAAAAAGTTGCGAGCAGAAATCTATGTAGTTTCACGCTCATCTCGTATACAATTTGAATATAAAACTGGCGGATTCATCATGCATGCGAAACGGGGAAACAAACAAGGCGAAAATGGGACCGCTGGTATATGGTTGCGCGCCATTATCCTAGGATCTTATTGCTTCTTATTATGCGAGGAGGCGTGCTAGAATAATTCGTCTTGCCGCGCATTACCGGAAAGAGCGGGTTTTACTATCGCCGGAAGGAAAACAATGTCACTTCAGACGCATAATTTGCTATCCTCATAAAATAATAATATTCTTACAGGAAAGATGAGAAATTAGAAGTAGTTTTTAGTGTATGCAGGATCACGAGAGAAATTACTTACCCTAAGGATCTCCAGTTGGGATCGTACAAAGTCCGCGCGACTGGCAATGTCAGGAATCGCCACAGGAAATGAACCCATGTACTGCAACAGAAAGAATTTTTCGTGTTAGAGCGATGCATTAGAAAAAATTTACTATATAGGTATAGCTTTCACTTTTACATTTCTCTCTGAAAAAATTTAGAAATATTAAAAAGTGCGACGAAATTTAACTTGATATAATTGTAAGCTAAAAGAAATTATATACAATAAAAATATGAATAATTCTAAAATTTTTCTTGTAAAAAAAATGTGTGTTTATTATTGTAATTAAAATACCTTCGTTAAACACGCCTACCATCCCATATTATCCTCGCGTGCTTAATAACGATGTTATACGCGTTCGCGTTTTCTATCTAATATATCTCTCTTATATCTATTATATTTTTGCCGAGAAGTAATTATCAGTTCGTCGACGTAACTGTGGTTTGAAGGGTCGTCAGCCCAGCCCAACGGAAAGCTGCCAGACGGCGAAATCACATAGCACGACAACTATAACGCCACGCACACGACGTTGGAAAACAATAAAGGCAAACATTGACCTAACCTACGACAAGAATTTAATTTCCTTTTTCCGTTTCGAGGATGTTCGCCCACCGGAACGTGTGCCCTCCTTCTTCGTAGGCCCGCTATTTCCTTTCAATAATCAATTTGGCTGGCGATCATTCCTACCCTCGCGCGTCTCGAAACGAAATTTTCCAAATTTCGTTCCTATTCTTGATCGATAGATAACCACTTTTCTTTCCATTTAAAGAAAGATCACTAAAATTTTTCCTAAAAAATTTCTGCGTCGATTTAAAATATGATTTATTCATGTTTGTAACAATCTCTAATACTTCTGGAAAAAATACCTCTCGAAATTTAAAAAAATACATTCTAAAATATAATCTATTGAAGTTTATATTTAAATCGGGCACGAACTTATGCAATCACCTGATATATGTCGGATTTTTGTATCTCAGGCACCGTCGTATCTTTCGCCTGGCCAAATGTGTCTCGCAACGATTATATGATCGATAAAAATAGCGACCCTCTCCAAACAACGACGATAAATAAAAACCTAGAGGGTAGGTTCCAGGGACGTAATAAATAAGAGTACCTAACGCAATTATGTGCTTATAGAAGGCACATATATTCCCTTCCCATAAATAAAAAATTGCCAGATATTTGCAATTAATGAGAAAGAGTTATAATTTCAAAAAGTACTAAAAATAAATAAATACCAAACAACGGAAAAGTTTAATAGAAAGAAAATTACGAATTAAACTATGATGGAAAATATAATGCACATGATTTACGATTCTCTCACGATTCTTGCGTTTGCGAATGTTTCATATCTGACAGCATTTTGATCGATAGATTTGTATCGCAATATAATCCTGGTTTTAATTCTCCCGGATGATTCTCATTGTTGTGTTTCATCGAACTTGTCTCTGGGAGGATCTTCTCCCGGAATTGCTGGGATTTTCCTGAATTATTATGCCACTGCAGAAGAGCGACTGGAATATCCACCGAGAGAACTCCACAGGGAATGGATGTTTTATAAAAATATCGGGGTGGAATAAGCTGTTATTGTTATGAATACTGAACGTGATATTATCTCTTTTCCCTAACTATTCATAGGTCAGTATTGAGAAGAGCAGAGATACAAAACAATTTCAGTATATTCGAGATGAAAAGAATATTTTTTTCTCATAAAACATTTTTGATCAAATACAAAATGTCACATTTAAATACGTTATTGTATATATATTTGCTAGAAATATTAATTTTACCTACCTAATTTTATACGTACGAAAAAGAAATATTTTGTAAATCTTTCTCTCTAAAAATTCTTTTCTTATATTTTCACACAAACTAATTAAATTTTTTAATATATCTTTTTTAAGTACGTCCATTTATAGATTAAAACGGGGTGTATTATATAATTTGTATTATATAATATATATATATATATATAATTTCTTTTGTTATAGCCTAGTTTTGAGATAAAAGTCGATTCCGCGTAAACAGCGTTGCTACTATTATTGCAATTACCGCATTTCCACTAGCGTGAGCAATCGGCCGTGCTAATATCTTGCAGGCATTAAAACGAGCATTAAAACGAATCGATTGAACGATCACGACAATCGAAGAATGTAAAAGCCCGTTTCTCCACGACACTCGCTGCCGCATGCTGCTGCTGCCAATGTGAGGGATCGTTACGATTATTACGGCACCATAAATCCACGATATATTTCACGGTGGCGAAATACACTGGTTATTTTATTCGATCGTTTATATCCAGCTTGAGCTACGAGGTTCTTCTCCACATGCGTGTAAGTACAAGCCAGATGATGCAATGACGCTGTCATCCATTTTTCGATTTAATATGCAAAGCAAGGCTATCTTATATTTCCATATTGTGTATGCTTCATAAAATCAAATTAATTATGATAATAATTGCATCCACGTATAGATAAAAAGAGATGAGTTTTCTCTACTCTAAATGAAAATTTCTTTATCACAAAACTTTTTTCTATAATTTGTTTTTCTCAATTATAATCAACCTTGTCCCTCACAAATTCTTGGTTTTAATTATTCCTATTTACTCGTCCTTTTAACGACACATTTTATTAATTGTTCGCCGTTTTGTAGATCCCAATAACCGGCAGGAAGTCAGACGAAAATAATCGTAACTCTTTCCGCGCTCTCATCGTGTACTGGTAAAATTGCGGCATACGAGCTGCTAACGAGCTCGTTGACGAAATTTTCGTCACTATAGCACCATGGAGTACCTAATTTCGTCCGAATGCTGGACCGAGAACACTTGTTCCACTTTCGTTGAAGAACCGAACCGCGGTTGCGCGGAAACCAACATAATTCATTCTTTTACCGAGCAAATTTTATTAGCACACACAAGAAAAATCACCTGTTGCAATTTTTTATAAATAAATTTAAATATACACTTTAAATTAATATCACTTGTGTGGTAGTCATATATTTTGATATATTATTAACTGAATATTAGTGATATATTTTGTGTGTGTGTATATATATA